CCCCCCCCCCCCCCTCAAAAGTTAAATGGTCGGCCCCTTAACTAAAGCATTGCCAAACCTTTTGAAATTCATTATCCCTTAATATTGACTAGGAATATCTTCCTCTCGGAAAACACGGTCCAAAGATGCTTGCATAACCGTAAGGCAGTCAGGCTCATATTCTTCTCCATTTGTTTTTCGTACTTCAGCGTATAAAAATCTCGACAACACCTCATCAAGTTCTTCAACTTTGCACGTCTTAAGGTTTTCGCCCATGGCCATGTTCCTGAACGGCACCCACTTTTTAAACACCCAAGCCCATAAATTGGTGCTTTTTCTCATATTTCAGTTTTCACTAGATGCTTTTAAATTTTGAATAACGTCACTATCGGCAACTCCAAAGCGAGAAGCCATTGGCATTGCAGTTTTGTTTTGCTCATTTTCAAAGGCGAAATTTCCCGCTGCTTGCGCGTGTCAGCCAATCAGGTGCAACTAATTTTGCCCTGAATTAAGAAAAAATCCCTCCTCATTAGCCAATCATATTCGAGTAATTTTGCCCTCTATATGATTATGTCATAAACAGCAGGTTAATTCCCTCTCAGTGTACTCAGATTCCTAGTTTCGTAGTGACACTGAACCAAAGAGGGATTCCTCCTTATTCAACTGATATTTCGTTGGATCATGAATTGCCATTTTACTGGTTCAGTTGTGTGTACATATATTATTCTATATATTGATAGCAATAATTCAAAGTCTACATATTTTTCTGTTCAAATTAGGAAGTCCATGGCTATACAAATTGTTATAACAGTGAGATATGTTGCGTTAATTTAAGCAACTGAACTTCATTTGAAAATGGCAGGACTGAACTAAACACGAGCGCGTGTAAATCAATGTAGAGATGCAGTTGCTAGGTAACAGACACAGCAAGCTGTAAAATTGCGTAAATATAACAGAATGTGAAAAACTTTTTAAAAAATAACAACGAAAAAGACGAGAAATGAGACAAAATAACAATATGATAATGATGAATTTTTAAAGATTCAAGATAAACAAAGCAGTATTTTAGTAAGGAAATTTTGGGAAATTTTTAGTCCTGCTGAGCAGGACAAGCAGGACGCTAGCTACGCCACTAGACTACCAGATTGCAATCTCATGTATGACTGCATGCCGCTTTTTTGCTGATGACACAAATTTGAATATGCGGATAAAGACTATACAAGTTCAAATGCTGGTTAACAGAACTCTAGAGAAGATCTTGTAGTTCATGAAGTTTATTATTGCTGCTTGAACCATTCGTTTAAGTAACTATAATCTATATAACTATAATATATTATTTTTGCTGAATCGTGCTCTGTGACTTATTTCAAGGCATCGAAATCATCCCACCTCACATCTCGTTCTGGCAAAGCGGGATCATATAAACTAAACAGTTCTTATTCAGTAAATTGCGCATGCTGTCTTTGATCCCTTGGGGGTGAGGCAGCACTTTCCTTTCGATAGTAATTTCTAGTTTTAGATTATGGACGGACCATTAGAAAAGTGATGGAAGGAGGGTGGGGATTTTCTAACATCTCACTTGATGGCTGGTAATATTTTTTTTAAGTGAAATTTACAGGCCTATCTTCCAAGCTAGCGAATTTTTTTTTGCATTATGCCTGGGAAGATTTGTTTCCCCTAATTTTTTTCCGGTTTTGCCCCACCCATCACTTTTCTAATGGTCCGTCCCTTATAACACATTGTTATACTGATTATTGTTTAATTAGTCGGGATTTTCTCGGACTGTAGTCGGAATGATTCGTGAATGTTAAAGGAGTGATGAGCTAAGCAGAATACAGATTGTGTTTTGAACATGTTTTTGTAACGGTTTTAATTAAGATTTATTGTTGTTGAATATCAAGATAGAAGAGAAAAGATGTGCTTGGGATAGACGTAAGTTTAAAGCTTTACTAGTTTATTCGATTTTGTCATATTATTGCGTTCAACGAAGGAGAACGCTTCCTAATCGTGACGTCACGGCTGGATGCTATGTCCTTTCGAGATTTTTGGATGTAACATTTGCCTCGCCTTTGTTTTTATGGCATGCGGCGTCTTAATTTCCATGTGCTTTACATATTTTGCGACAACAAGGAGATTTTGGCTGTTGTTTTGGGTTTTCCTGTGGTTTATTATTGTATTAACATAATCAATGGTGTTGTGCTATATATACTTACCAAAGCATCAAGAATTTGTCTTGCGTTGTTTCATCGATTGGAAATCCGACATTTCAATTCGCTACCAAACCACGGTGGCTGGACACTTTCCCGAAAGACACTTTGCCGAAAGACAATATGCAGAACATTTCTGCAAAGTGACTCTTTCAGCAAAATATCCAGTTACCCAAACCACATTGCTGACATTGCATTTTGTCAGCTAGAGCTCACATCAGATTTAACCTCGATCCAGGGACGCCGCTAAGGCATCAACATTGGGGGTGGGGGGTCGTCATGTTTTGACCAACATTTAATAGAATTTTGACCAAGTCGTAAAAATTTTCCCCCCGGAAATGTTGTCGTGCTGCTGTAAATATTTTTCTGGAATAGTATATAAGCATATTTAAATATATTTTGACCAAAATAAGCAAAGCTTGCCAATTTTTCACCACAATTTACCGACTTTGACCTTAAATTTTAAGCAAATATCAGTTCCATTTTGACCAACTTTGAGCAAATACCTGCAGCTCCATTTTGACCAATTTTGACCAGCGTTTGAATTATTTTGACCAACTTTGACCGTTTGAATTATTGAGAGGGTGTTACCCCCCCCCACTTCTATAGCGACATCCCTCTACACAAGTCCCAGTTTATATAATATTTGGCTGGGATGCCTTTCACCTTTAGGCAATTAAAAGACCATGTCTATAGTAGGTGGTCACACAAATAAATATACAAATCCCAGTTATTTTGTTGACACAATGAACCTAATCAGTAATCATAGTATACATAGACAAGCAGAGCAAAGTTTTACTGATAAATTCAGCTGTATTTTTCATTAACATTTCTTGCCATGTTTGATCCAGTGAAACTTCTGATGCTTTGATAAATTAAAATATTCTAACACTAGTTTTACATAATGGGGCTTAAATGTAGTTTTTCAGACCTTTTTCGACCTCAATTTTCCAGAAAATTCCTTAATATTTACTGTCGATGCAATGGAAGTGTTGATAAAATATTGCACCAATTCCTTTCCTCAGGTTGATCAATTCATTTGATAGAAAATTGATCAACTGTTGAAAATTGAGCACAAAGCATGGAAATTGATGGCATTTATTAGGAATTTTGCAAGAACACATACAGTTTGCTGTGTAATGTCATATTTTTATTAAGTGTCCACGCTTAGTCAGGTTTGACCACAGATTAGCGATTTCGTCAAGATCGAACGTGTCTGTTAGATCGCGCTCACACGCAAAGAGTCAAGAGTTCACCGAGTTCCTGGTTCATTACTGAACGCATAACAGTTTTCACTGATTTCAGCTTTGAAAAGCTGCGCTCGGCGGATGTGGATGTTACAGGAACAGTCAAGCGCGTAACTATAGGATTTTTGATTGACCGAGATACTTCTGGGGGGTCTGGGGGCATGCTCCCCCAGAAAATTTTTGATTTTCTAAGGCTTAGAAACGCTATATTTTCTGCATTCTGGGAGCAATTCAAACGAAATTTCATAAACAGTGACACAATGACTATAATTTTATACTGTAGTTTTCCCCCAATCCTGAGGCTAAGAATTACATTTTTGGTCGAACATTATTGATCAGGTGCATAATAAAAAAGTGTTTGTGCTCAATTGTTGTAATATTTGGGCGCTGGCCCGCACTTTTGTTATTGGGGTACTTGTGCACCCACACAGCCTCCCATTTCTTACGTCACTGTAGGGCAAGAATAATGCTTCTTTACATAGAGAGAACTATACAGTCTGTCATTGAACTTGAACTCGATTGACTCATATACCTAGTTATGCGCCTGACTGTAAGCAACAATTGGAAACATCGCCTAGTCAGTGTAAACAATTTTTCGCTCCGTGATTTCAGATCAAACCAGTGCGTCGTTCACTGATCGAATTTCTTGATTGCAGTAGGCACATAAAACTCTTTGGTAACAAAATGCATATGCATATCGTGTTACATGTGAATATACTTCCTAATGTAACTCGGCTAGAAATTCGTTTTTGCACTTTACATCTTAAAAATATAGTTTAGGGGACCGGAGAAATATTGTAACTAATGTTAGCTATATTTTGATCGAGATTCATCGCATTTTGGAGTCTGATTTTGGGGGGTTGAAATTTTCGCTAGTATAGAATATCACCCGTGAATGACCTTGCAGAACCTAAATTCCAAATAAAAGTGCCAACACGTAATTGTGACATATAGATATCTCCATGTCTGGAAAGTAAATGGAAACTTCATTCCTTTGCGCGTGTTTTGAATGATAATTCGTTCATAAACTCGCGAAATAAGTACGTAATATTTCTTCATATTCTGAGCTGTTTGATCCGTTTGAGCAGATTTCCAACTCAATACTCTATAGTCTGAGTCTATCTCGAGTTTCGAAAAGATTTAATTTGCTTCGCAAAGCACTGCATGTAAACAAACGCATAATTTTGAGACCGACTGCACGTAGTTTAAGACCGACTGGATCATTTCTCGGGGGGGGGGGGGTGAACCCCACACACACACACACACCACATTTACGCCCCTGCATCAACAGTAACACATTCCGCAATTCCAAGGCCCCCTTTCCACAAGTTGGGCCCCGGTTTTTGTGGCTAGCCCGTTCGCGGGCTAGCCACAATGTAAAGCTGAACGAAGGATGTCAAGATGTGACGGAAATTGTCGTCAACTTCGGAAACTGTCGTTCATGACATGAGATTGCCTGCGATCAGGCCTGAAATAAATAAACATCGATCAGTTCGAGCAACACTGCAGTGTGCTTTGGAATTGGAAATTTGGTATTATATGTTCAATATTTCATCAAACAAAACAACGGAGATAAAGATAAACCAATTGTCGACAAAACATCAAAGATGAAGGTATATCAATGTATATCATCGCTATTTTGGTTGACATTTCGGTAATGTTACTAAACAGCAATATTATTATTTGAAAGTGTACCGTATTAATTAAATCTATATACTGGCTATAGATTTGGTGACTAATTGTACACTCTTTTCATATTTAAGGAGTGAAGCTTTGATATTGAATTCACCACTAAGCATCTATTGACAATATTACTGAAGTGTAGCGTTTTGATCAAACAAAGTAGTTACTGATATTTTCTTTAGAATATTCTCGACATATTTCAAGTTGGTTTTTAGCAAACCATATGTTTGTTTCACTTATAAGTGGCACTGTTCCTTTTATATGTACTTTATAGTAAGATTTTTATATTAATTGGAAAGTTGTTTATATTAATTGGAAAGTTGACAGAACATTAATTAAATCATGATTGAATATTTTGAAGTATATACTATTAATACGGTAATATGGGTATTATCATTGCAGGTAATTGCAGTAGCAGACTTGCATATACATTCTTTTCATGCATGTTAGCTACATATTAAAGAAAATTAAAACAGAACCAGACACAGTACTAAAATGCGGTGCCCGCCTACAAATAAAACTTTCGGCGTTTCCGCCTACATGCACAAGTAAAGTTATATTTAGCACGCTACACATTTTCCTGTCGGCCGCCAGTTGGTCCGTACGTTAGGATCAAAACTGCGTTTTAAAGCCTTCAAAATAAAATATTTTGAGCTCAAAATACTATCAAAATGAGGAGAAAAGTGAGACGAATCCACTTGCATACGGCCGAAAACGAGAAAACCAACAATTCCGAAGTTATCAAGGATCAAACGGACTGCATTTTTATAATTAGTTTAATCATTTTGAGCGATTTGTCAACAATACAATTTCGCTTATTAAAACTGTACATTAAAACCTTCAAATTATAATATTTTGGGCTCAAACTACTAACAAAATAAAGAGAAAAGTGAGACGAATCCACTGGTATACGGCCGAAAAAGAGAAAACCAACAATACGAAAGTTATCAAGGTCAAATGTATTGCATTTTTAATTAGTTTAATCATAGCAGCCCAAAAATGCGTGTTGAAATTTTTACCCTCGCCGGTGGCGCTCGGGCACGCATCGAGTCTACTCAGTTTATTATTATGACTGAAAACACTCGCCCGTCGGGCATCGTGTTTCCACAAAACTCATTATAGTCTTTATATAACTTTATATCAACGCAGAAAGATGTTTTACAATTCTTAAATATTCACGATACCGCCATAATTTTGTTAAATTCAACACAATACAGACATTGGGCTGCTGTGTTGTGATATGAATTCCAATTTTCTCTCCCAAAGGAGAGGCTAGCCACATGTACGCAGTGCGTACCTATTTTTTACTATTCTTTCAGTTTGGTGAAATTAATCAAATTATATTGCCTGATTTAGGCCCTTTCAGTGATAGACTGAACCCAGTCGGCTCGTGTGAAAGACGCGCGGGGAAATGAGGGAGGGACTGTGGACAGGTCTAACGAATTTGAATTTCCTGTGTTATGAGACACGGAAAATTCCCAATGGCTGAATAGCTTGATTGACATACAGTATCAATTACGTAATGAATAATTAATTCCAATGTGATAAACACCATACTGTAAACAGTTTTTGAATTTCAAGGCGTGAAGAATTATTCAATCAATATGGATTTCAATGCTACCTTAAACGAATGTGTTAAAAGTTTGCCTTTTATCGATCGTCTTAAAGACCAGCAAAGATTGACGATCGTTTCTTTATTGTAGGGAAAAGACAAAGATGTTGTCTGTAGGAAAAGCTTGATTTTTCAGCTGTATATTTTGACTAAATTAAAGAAATATTTTGTATATTTTGACTAAATTAATTGTTCGTCATTAATATTTTCTCCAAAATGAAGAGAGCGTCCCAGTTTAGCGCGAATTTTCGTTGCAAAAGGTGCAGTTACTGGTGCATTCCGAGAAGGAGATGGCACATTGATGGCCATCTTGTTGTTGCGGCTTGAATGCGGTGAATTAGACATTCGTTTGTAGCGATCTGGTTGGGTATTCTCATTTTCATCATTTTCATCGTTATGCGCTGAGCTGTTTATACTGTGACATGTAACGTATTTGTGAAGTTCCGAAAATCGTCGAATTTTATT